TCGACGAAGAAATTTAACATCCCGAGAGAGGTAGGGGTGAAATGTCATCAAGTAATAAATGATAGGTTTTGCCCACCTATGGTTTGTATACTTGCATGACTGTAGGAGTATTCTGACCTGGATACCAATATAATTATTCTTTTTCTGTTTCGTTTCTTCCAGAGGAGTCCCAGTGCTTTTCGTCCTTGCTATCATTGTGGCGAACTTTTCTGTCGAGTTTGGGCTACGAATGATGGACGGGACAACTTTAGAAGAACGCTGTGGAACTGCTCAAGAAGAACCATTCTCGCTCCTTCTTCTAGTGATCGACGTTACCTTCTATTATGTCATTCCTGCACTGACAATCGTTGCCTGCAGCATTGTTCTTTTCATATTGATATACTCTCATAAACCGACCACTAAAAACCACCAACTCATTCCAGTCACTTATGTCGGGGTTCACCACTCAGAATCTGACATCACAAACCCGAAGACAAAGGACAAGGAAGACGTCGAGTCAAGTGAAGATAAATTCAAAATCAATGAGCCGTCATATTCAGCAAATCTAGGTAAAATGCTAGGCATGGATTTTCAGGGTGGTTTTAAGATCAAAGTGCCTGAATCGTTGTACGAGATAGAAGTTCCCGACCTGGATAATGGCTCCTCGGAAGAGAGATTCTCACAAAGCAAAAGCTTCGATAGTGGCCAGTGGATCAGTCGCCTCTCAGCTGCAACCTTAGAGTCAAAGATGAAAACAAGAAAATCAGACAGCATCGCTATGAACTCCACTCCGGCCTCTCGGTCGTCGACTTTTGACGAAAAGATGGACGGAATGGAAAGGAACGATCCGTCTACAGATGAAAGCGAAGAACGAAAGGAATCTTCTGACTCTTTAATTACACAAACGGGGTCCATTTCTTCTTATTCCGGAAGAAAGAAATCTTCTGTCTCGTCTACAAAAGAAAAGAAACCTTCTTCCTCTTTTCCTGAACGAAAAGAATCTTCTTCTGTCTCGTCTACGAAAGAAAAAGAACCTTCTTCCTCTTTTCACGAACAAAAGGAATCTTCTTCTGTCTCTTCTACGAAAGAAAAAGAACCTTCTTCCTCTTTTTACGAACAAAAGGAATCTTCTTCTGTCTCTTTTACTAAAGGAAAGGAACCTTCATCCTCTTTTCACGAACGAAAGGAATCTTCTTCTGCCTCGTTTACTAAAGAAAATGAGATTTCTTCGTCTTTTCCACAACAAAAAGAACCTTCATCTTTCTCTTACGCTAAAGAAAGGGAACCTTCTTCATCTTTTGCTGAATCCAAGAACCCTTCCATCCAGTCCATTGAACAAAGAGACACCCGTCTTTCTTCTCCTGGACCAAGAGAGTCTTACTTATCTGCCTGGGAACAGGCTAAATCTCCCAGTTCGCCTACAGGACAAAGCGAATCTAAAAGTCAGTTCTACAGGAGTAGTTTTCAACGTTTGGCATCCATAAGTAACTGGCCCATTAAGCGTCAAGTGACAAATTCTGAAAGCTTCTCCGGGAATCTGGGCCTCACAAATAAAGTTTCTTCCCAAACTGAGTCTAAAGCAGAGAGAGGTAGCGGGGTTTCGAACAAGAAATCTTCAGTAGCATTTGCTATCTCCGAAGATAACGTTGCTGAAAGTGGCTCTGTACAATCGATTTCAACGTTAATGTTTTTGGACGCAAAAAGATCGTCTTCTTTATCACATTTGGACGATGCGCCTGTGTCTTCCTCGAGTCGTAAACAAACATATTGCCCCAAACCAATATCAGCGATCAAGAATTTCATTTACGATCTTCTCACGACCGACAACGTCGGCTCATCAGTAGATTTAGAGAGGCCGAGTACCAGGATATCTTCACAATGGTATCTTGGCAGCAGATCTAGCTCACAAATGTTGCCGGTTGATAAACAGGCGGTTGACATCAGCAAACCGGACACTTCTGTTGACTTACCACGGTACAGCCTACGGCGATCAGTAAACTCCCCCCCCTTCAGTCCTCCCCCCGACATCGGTTCGTTCTTCGATTCTCCAGAGTCCGAAAGTGATGAGAGGCACTCGCAAGACACACATTTCATGACTAAAAGTCAACGCACAATGTACTTGCTAGCGCGGAAACTCTCCGACCTGGACAAAGAGTTGTTAAAAGTCGACTCGCACGCCAGGCGATCAGAC